GGGGGGGGGGTGCTTATGGCGCCACACTACGCCACGCCACGCCCCACAACGGCCTGACGTACTACACATGATTGACTGCCGCCCCGTCTTCTCTCATCGCAGCCTTGATATTTCGCAGGAATGACGTTTCAAATTGATAATGCAAGTTTTAGTGGAGGTTTGGGGGGGGGGGGTCAGAGCAAGGTCGTGTAAAGAGAGGGATAGAAAGTCACGTCCACATGAGGTGCTCGCCCGCCCACACCCATATCTACGTTCGCTCTGTTCGGGTAGCGCGCCAACTCAAAAACTCAATGAAATGCTTTCGTGGGAGGTGAGGGGGGGGTGGGGTGTCTCGCTTTAGAGGAAGATTAGACGGAGTAGCTTCGTTTTGGCTTGCGGAGAGCCTGGACAGGCCAGCATTGCATGTACGGCGAACTAGTCACGCCTCGAAACGAAATCGAAAGTGGCTCCGCGCGCTTCCTGCGGTGGAAGCTGCCGCCGTCGAGGACCGCGCCAAGGGGACACCGGACCGGATGCCGGACTATTTACATGCATGAACCCCCGCTTCTGAAGGTGTCTTAAGCTATCATTACAGACAAATAATGGTCCACAGAACCTCATACTTATGCACCTAACTGCTGCAGCCCTACGCCGCTCCCTTTCCCGCGTCAAAAAAATGTTTTGAGACAGTCCCCAAGACTGTCTCTACCAGAAGGAGAAAACATGCCCCCCCCCCCTCACATATCCTAAAAATAAAATAAAAAATATCCTGAACTTTCGTTGAAGTGGAGAGCATGTTTGAGAGCCCGAGTGTTTTGAAATGCGGCTCCCGCCACTGTCATGCGCCTCCGCCTCCCTCGAATCTCGCGAGGCGGACCTATGTGCCAATGCGGCGCGCTGCGCCGGCCTATTAGTCGGCCATAACGAGTAAGTGGCAGATGACAGCGACGCCTGAACGGCTGCGTCTGCGATCGCGTCGTCACGACCCGGTCGCCTCCCCAACGCCTAGGTCTTAACCCGCTGCGCCGCCAGACAGGTCAACGTAGCGTACAAATGAGGGCAACTATTTTGGCGCACGGTATGTTTTATCAAACGATGGAGAGAATAAATTTTTTCTTTTCATTTCAGTAACATTTTGTAACTACGAACAACTAACGAACAATATTAGCTGTCACACCACATAGATTTTAAGGGTAGCTTAAGCAACCTTAGTACAGGCCTGTACACCCAGAAAAATAGTTTCTTGATTCAAGTGCAAGCTGACACAAGATGAAATTCACCATTGACACAAGGCAATATTGTCTTTGAAGTAAGATTTTTCTCTTATTCGAAAGAAAATATCAGCTTGTTTCAAGAGTAAATTTGATCTTGTGTCAGCGTGCACTTGAAACAAGGAAAAATGTACTTGAAACAAGAAACGATTTTTCTGGGTGTACTGTTGCAGCAGTTAGTGACTTCCTTGGAAAAGGGGGGGGGGTGGGGAGTGCAGATCTAAGTTAGCCGTGAGAGCTCGTCTATTTGCCCAATGTCAGTTTGCTTTTTAAAAACACTCTACATTTAAAAGTTTAATTTTGTTCCTAAAGTCGACGTTTTTGTTTTCGGGTTTTCTAAGACTAGACAGATTGTGTAAATCTTTACACAATTTGTCAAAAATTGGGAATTAAATTGCATCCGGTTCGGATGTGCAAGAAAGCTTTGCCATTTTGGGAACAAAATTGTCCCTTTATATTCACGGTGGAATAACAAAAGAAATTAACTGAATCTTATGATGATTACGGATCTCCCGATTTGCCCGTCACTCTGTTTGCAGTGTTCTGCTTCGCTCCTCCACCATGATGTAAACTGCACTGTCTGCGTCGCGTGAGGGGCCGAAGTGCAAGGAGGTGCTGCCCAGCGCTTGGACACCGTTAGAAGCCAACCCCCGCTTCAGACTTGCCCCTATAAATCTAGCTAGCTCTGTCCCCAAAAGCAACTTTTCCCGCTCCCTCACCCCCGCCCCCGGGTACCAGTTCGCGCTTTATCGCTGGCAGCAGGTGTAATATTGAATTAACACCCGCCGAGGTTTAGTGCCCGCGCGACGCTACCGCATGACCCAATGACTGACCCGGTTTGCCCACTTCCTTACTTTAAGCACAGATAGTCACAAGCAATTATTTGACGGGACTACTGTGACTACTCCAATTTTACAATTTACAACAAAATGACAACGCGTCCGTCTCAGCCCCTACCATAATGCTCACACGAGATTCAATAATGGTCTTTTATCACATTGTTGAAAAAGTAATATTTTTTTACATATTATCGTACATTACTTTTAATGCTTTTAAACATGCATGATCGTAACTTAAGTCGACTGTTAAAACTAACATCGTACTAAAAATGTGAATGCCAAAAAAAATTAAAGGAGCTGCCACATGTTTCCTCTTACGGCTAATGTGAATTTTAACACAACAAGAAATTCAAAAAGTTTCCCGAACCATCGCACAGTCGGAGGGTGGGTCACACAATTTGTGCACAAGCAAGTGTGCGGATGTAAGCGTTTTTCACTCTCACTTGTAAGTACACAAATTGAGTCGCTCACGCTCAAGTGTACGACACGTTCGCTGCGCGGTTTGTTTTTTTTTCACTTGTAGCACACACTGTCGCACTGAGGTAATATCCATTTGGGGCGGTGAGATCCATCGCAGTAATCCTTGCGGGTGGGCTGTGGCACTAACCTTAAGGAACGCCATTGCTTGCTATGGATGCACAACGGTAGGACTGGAATGGCTGGACCGGGCTCCCCAGGTTTATATATAGCTGCGGCGGGCTCCCCTGACTCCCCTCAGCCCGGCTGGTGGTGGGGGCCACGGGGGTGAAGTGCGCGCTCCTTTCTCTGGCGGGGCGGGCCGTGGCGAGGCGTGGCGGGGGTGGGGCGCGGGCCCCATTGTCGGAAAAGACGAACTGGGGGTGGGGCTGACTGGAGGTCGGGCTAGCGGAGGAGGTGAAGAGGTTCTTTCTCAACAAGTGAGAGAGACGGGAAGAGAGGGAGCGTTAAAGAGGGAGGGAGGGGGAGGGGCTGAAAGCGAGAGTGAGAGGGATGATGAGATCCCCCACCACGCCCCCCACCTCGCCGCACGCCGGTGTGTGGCGCCGGGGAGGCGGGGGGCCGCGTCCAGCCCAGTCGGCGAGGGACCAGTGAGGAGGAGGGATCCCTGTTTCCGTCCACGGCGCCCGGCAGGTCCGGCGCCCGCGCCGCTGCAGGCCGTTTCTGCTCTCCGTCGTCTTCGCGTCGTCTGCTTCGCGTCGTCTGCTTCGCGTCGTCTGCTTCGCGTCGTCTGCTCCGCGGCGTCTTTTGCTTTGCATGTCGTTTGCCTTCCGCCGTCGCCGCCCGCTGACGTTTCCTCCTCCGCGGCGCGCTTTCGTCGCTCGTGAAGGCGTTTAATGGGCCGCCGACCGGGCGCATGCTCCGGTGCATTTGGCGAAAAACGTTCTGCGCCTTCTTCTCTCGCTCAAACTTGTCGCGCGACGACGCCGTTCTTGTTTCGAGATGATGCGCTCGAGGCTTGGCAAGCCGTTTAGCAAACCACAAACCGGCAAGCTGTGAGCCGCGCCGCTACCGGAGCGACACGAACGGGCAATAAAAGACGCGGAGGGCAAAAAGAGATGGATGCAAACTGTCGTACCGAAATTCGAATGTCGGTTAGACACAAACTTTAAAGTGCAACAGCTTAAAACCCACACAAGGGGAAATTCAAATAAAACACAACATTTTGTGCTCTCTTATTTTAGTCAGTTCTCACTAAATATTCTCATTTTCAATTGTCAATTGTTGCAAAAAGAAGACGACTATTGATTGTAGAACAAATCACTTTGCAGTCCAGCAATGTGTGCTTCCAAACTCATTTGCTGCCAAGATCGTATGTGTTGTTAATGCCCAAATCTTTGGATTAAAGCATGGTATTAGGCCATCAGTCATCACCATAGCAGGCCTAAAAAACAAAAGTTGAAAAGACAGTTGGCGGGGCGATGAACTCACAATTTAGTTTCTCATGTCGGGGGTCGGGCATGGAATCTGGGTACAGACACTGCGATGCATTGACCGTAGTAGCGCATTTAAAAACTATCAACATTTCTGGCGCTCAATAAGCATTTCATAAATTGTGCTCAGCGCTGCTGAAGTGAGCGATAAGACGCACTTTTACATATAAAACGCTAAAATCTGGAACCAAGCAAAATTAGTGTTTTGTCACTAATTAACAAAACACCATTTAACACGTTCCCTGTGGCATGACCACTATAGTGGTCACGATCCCATATTAAATCATAGGGACCGAAAATGAGCCGCAGAGAACGTGTTAAAGATGTAAAAGCATCAATGCATTTTCTGAGGATACACCCTCTAGTCTGTCACAAGAAAACTAGGTTGATCAATATAAAATAAATTTTCACAAGTAAAAAACATAATTTTTTAAAGACAGTGACAAACGCGTCACGCAGCAGAACACTTAATATTAAACTAAAATTCCCCGAAAATGTTACAGTGGATTGATAAATTTTCTAGATAGAGTTGTTTGGTCGTTTATCATTGGTCAAAACGAAGACTTCTTGGGAAGTACATACCGCCAGGTATTGCGATGCACGCGCCGCACCGGAGTGGGCGGGTTTGCCTACTCCCTCTGCCCATGGCTCTTGTGAACAGGCAAGCCACAAGCGCCACACCAAAACACCCGGTACAACACTTTTATACAGGTTCATCCATATACAATTAAGATTATCTTGAACTTCGTTGGCAATGCTTTGTATTGTGCCCAAAATACTACGGCAAACGTAGGCATGATATGGCCTTAAGTTGTTCACTGAGAACACGAAATTTATTTTTAGCAGTTCATCTATAATCGATGAGGTTTGATTGAGGAAGATTTTTTTTTTTCAAGGAAAAAACGCAGCATCCTTGGTGCGTTGCTGACCTTGCCAGCACTGCACTTGCACTTATGCCCCTGTGCCACTTCCGTACCCCCTCCCCTCCTGAAATGCAGCCCGGCCGGGTGACCTTTTTGTCAGCCGTCGGGTCACTTGCGCGAATGGAGACGACTTTGAACACTCCTCCAGGCCAGGCTGTCATACATAATTGGAAACATGTACTGGCCGGGAATACTAGCAGGTTCATGCAGATGGCAGCTCTAAGTCATCGGCTTGCTGAAATTTAATGCCGTTATGATGCACTGCCGACTTCCTTCTTAAAGTTTGTGAGCTATTAGAAGCTCTCAGCTGTCTGAGATAACCAGAGAGTTAAACAAAGTGTTTGTGTTTTTGGTGTTTCGGCAACACCGCCCGCTTTTCGAAAAGAAAATAAATGCGTGTGGTTGATAGGCTCTGTTCCAAATCCGAGCGGTAAGAAGCTTGGTCGGTATGCGAACGGTCGGTGCGAGTGAGACCAGAGATGTCTGACTTAACTATTGAAATGGATGGTATCTCTCGTTTCCACTTTTCGCAGCAATGAAAACTGGTGGGTTCGAGAGGGTTCCAGCAAGACACGAAGTAGTGCTTCGTTTCAACATGTGCGAGTGGCAGGTGCGCTACGTGGGAGCAGCTCTTGGAGTGTTTTACACGGAGTGTCCACGGCGAACAGTTCTTTTGATTTGGACGTTGGCGCATTTACTACTCATTGTCACGCTCTCTGCTCCCTACGTCATTACAAGTCCCAACAAAGGGATGTTCGGCAGTAACGTCTCGACACGTCACTGACGCACCCTAGCGACGCTGACGCGACCGGAAGGTGAAAGATGTAGTGTGTGTGGGACGGGCGGGTCAAGAGAGCCCGAGTGGTCCATTGTGCCCATCACTTGTGCAGCCCTGTACCCACGGATTAGAAAAACACAACAAAAAAAAACTATCCAAACTTAAGAAAGCACTCACGCGGTAAAAACAATTTCTGATTTTTT